TCCTCATTTTCCCCCTCCCTCAGAATCTGCTGTGTTGATTGGACTTTTTTTTTAAAAAAAGCACCTTAACAAGACTGAGACAAGTGTATTACTGAGGAAACTTACTGCAGCTATCAATTGATCACAGAGACATGTTTAAACATGTTTTGTATGAAACAAGCTTGTGTATGAACTGAAACCCCCAGAAGCAATATTCTTGAACTTAACCTTTATAAAACAACACTTTTAGTGCCAAATTTTTACTTTAAAAAAACAAAGTAAATTTAAAGTAAATATTTTAAGTGTCTTTATTAATTTATTCATCAAATGCATATTTTTGTGCTTTTAGCTTTTCATTTTCTCAGATTGGCATCAGAAGCTCATTTGTTCCAAAGAGAGATGGCTGAAAGTGGTGGAAAAGGAATAGTGAAATGGACAACCATCATTATTATTAGCACCTCTCTTAAGGTAAAGGTACATTTTGCCCGTGTCCAACTCTTACATGTATGAGGCAATGGAGAGTCATTTGGCTTGGGGTCAGGCACCCTTTAGTCCTCAAAGGGACATTCTTCTTCGCCACCGCTTCTTGCAGAGTTCTCCAGTGCACTTCCCTCCTGGTTCTTCTTTCTTGCCGATTCTGAGACCATGCCTCTGCAGCTGAGATGGCTCAGTTTATACCCAGTGGAAGGGCAAACAGACTAATTCCCTCTATTAGAGTTCCACACACCCTGTTTACATGTCCCGTCTAATCATTTTGTGGGAATTACAAAAATTGTAGATAGAAGAGCTATACCAAGTACTTTCATTTCACTGTACATCTAGAATGGGGCTCATTACAGAAATGAGAAAATAGCCACGAATACATTTCTGATCGGTGGTTCAAATACGGAGCTTTCCTGAGAAAGGTTGCTTTTGGAAGTACGAAGGGTTAGGAGCACTAGTATCTTAACACTTAACATTTCAGGAATTTGCCTGTCACAAATTGCTGTGCCAGCTGCTCTACTTTTGTCAGAAGCGCTGTTCAACCTCTCATCTACCTATCTGAATTGGCAATGCCCTCAGAATAAAAATAAGCTAAATGTTGAGCTTCTAGCTTTGAACTTCTATATAGATATTGGTCTTGGAATTTTTTCACTAGTCTACTATTTCTTTGGTCAATTTTTTTAAGAGCCAGCATTTGCGGTTGTCTTCAGCAGGAGGGCTGGTCTAAATTATTTTTCTAGCCATTGCTAGCAGCAATGTATAATTTTAAATTTGTAGAAGAAAACTAATGGAAAAACCCTAGTTAAACAAAGATAATCTAGGAAGGAAAAGACGCATATATTTTATATATAATTCCAGCTTAAGTGTTTAAAATATTAATGTTCTGAGGCAAAAATTTTAAATTAACCTACCAAAGGGCTCAACAGAAAGA